GGGGAATGTGTACCAGGCCTAGATGTTGAGGGGAATGTGTACCAGGCCTAGATGTTGAGGGGAATGTGTACCAGGCCTAGATGTTGAGGGGAATGTGTACCTGGCCTAGATGTTGAGGGGAATGTGTACCAGGCCTAGATGTTGAGAAGGGGAATGTGTACCTGGCCTAGATGCTGAGGGGAATGTGTACCAGGCCTAGATGCTGAGGAGGGAGGTTGTGGGATGGGGGGATGTATACCTGTCCTAGATGTTGAGGAGGGGGGCCACTAAGTCGTTCATGTTGAACATCTCTGAGGTTTTGAATTAAAGCAGCGTTGTTTTCCAACTGTCGACTTCCATTATCCTAAAATGTTTCAGAGTAATTCATCAAATCATGAAGATGTACTATTTTTGTAAGTCTTAATCAACACTTATTAAATAAAATAATATCCAAGAAATTCATCATATTCATATTCATTAATCCCTAGATTACCTGTGTACTTGAATATTGAGACTGTAAAGAATCTAAGAAGCTCATATCTATTCCTTCATTGCTCAGGGACTTCAACGCTTCAAAATCTACTCTTTCATTATTTACATCACTTTCAAACACAGCCCTCACTGCACTCTCTTCAGCGCGCAGCGCCTTCTGTTCCTCAATATATTTAGTCGTCTTTTTATGCTCATTGCCACTGAGAATGTCCAGCAAGTGATCAACTATGAAGGTTGCGTATTCACAGTTTTTAGAAAAGTTTTTAATACTCTCTGCGTAGGCGACGCCAACATCGTCGCCGTATGTACTGTAGACAAGTTCTGTTTCTTGTTTCGTCAAATTGGCGAATGTTGAATCATACGCCGGACCGTAGGAGCTGAATGAGCCGTAATAGATAGGATGAAACGCTTTGGCCATGTTTCGCCGGTCCTCACTGAATCCTTGCAGCGCCGAAGCGCCGTATTTGACCCGGCCGATGAGTTGACCAAGAGTAACGGCGCGCTCTGCCGCTCCATCGGTTGGTGTGACGATGGATAGGCTGGTAGTACCGTCCTGCTTCTGACGTAGGTAGCCCATATGTGAGCCTGGTTTCCGCCGCGCAAGACGAGCTGCTGCCGCCGCGGAGGCCTCATTTACCTTAAAAAAATAACAAAGAAACAAATAGCCCACTTTTTCTTCAAATACTAAAGAAAACAGAGTGTTCATAATTGTCAATATTACCGGAGATATTAAGAATTTCGTTCAGATTTAAATTTTGTTAAATAAAACAAAAATTTTTGAAATATATATATGAAATCTTCATATCTAGTTGTAATATTGAAAGCACAAAAAAGGCAGACCACATTTTGGAAATGCCAAGACATTTTATAATGAATTATTTCTAGAATTTAACTTCCAAAATTAGGTTAAAAAATAGATGCAGCAAATTAGGACAACAATCAAAGACGACATTACAAGTCGTCTTGCTACTGTCATGTTTAGTGAAACACTGTATATATTCTGGTGTGGGATATTATCAGGAATATATATTCATATATTTATATATACATATATAGTTTACCTGATTATATATATCCTGGGGGGGGATATTATCAGGAATATATATTCATATATTTATATATACATATTTGTCCATTATATTGGGTTGTTTGAATCCAAAAACGCCAAAGCGGCGTAAAGGACGGGCTAAAATTTTAGAAACCTCAAAAGCGAGCAGGTCCAGGCTGACGGACACTTCCTTTTATCTCCTCAATCACCTAGACACAGGGGGTTTCAACAATGGATAATGGATATGTTCTCGAGGCTTTTCCCAGCAGCGAATATTTTACAATAAAAACAACAAGAAGTCGTCAACAATGAAGATAATTTTTTGAAAGAGTATATCGAGACAACCCTGATAAAAACCTTCTTTTACCCAGTCGAACAAATCAAGGAGAAAAAGTGAAAAAAAATCGTTAATTATTTTAGTAAAAAACTTCCCACCTTTGACACATCTTTCTCATCCTCAGCAGACATCTCAGCTGTCATCTCGTCCTGGAAATATAAATCATCAATTAATTAATTTGTAATTATATTTAAATACCTTTCAAATTTTTATTTTACAAAAACTGATCAATTTAAACCCCTTTACTAGTTCTAAAATTCCTATTTCCAGACAACTTTTCGAATCCTTTCTTTCCCCCATAAAGACACAACCCCAAATTAGTTTTTAACAGGGTGGCACAGCCCTTTCAAGCATTTCTTTTTTTCGTGAATTTTTGTGCGTGATTTTCATGCAAATGAAAGGAAATACGTTATTTTACAATATTTACAAACTTACTTTATTATTACCTTAACCTTATTTTTATCTTAGTATACTTATAATTGAAGCAAAACACAGATATCATGGTATGTTGCCAAAAATGCTTAAAATTCCCTGTGAGAGCCAAAACTAGAAAATAAAAATAAATTCCCTCATTTTCCTCCCCTTTTGCCTTTGGGAGAAAAAATATAATAATCTCTCCCAAAGAGGGTTTAAACAGTTTTCTGTGTGAGCCGAAACTAGCAGATACAGAAATAAATTCCCTCTTTTCCTCCTTTAATCTCATTCACTCCCCTCCCCCCCTCCCACCCCTTAATAGAGCTCAGGGGGGGGGGTCACAAAGAAAAATATACACACCTATTTCCAAAATTCAGGAATACAATAATAAAAATCATAATTACATGAATATTGAATCCCAACTGCTCAACACTTAGTTCCATGATGATTGGTATATGCTCAGCTAAATCAGAATCATTCAAATACAAATAACAAAGTATGGACAGCTGATAACGCACTTTATGAAGGGGCAATTATAGTTATATCACCAGCGATTTCAAATAGGAGAGGGATAACAAAATCAAATAGTTTCTATACTAAATAAATTGGGACAGAAAATATATACCTCAAATGTAAATTGTGAAATGCAAGATTAAACATTTTACCAGTCCATCGATTAAAAATGGTGCTTTACTGACTTCTTTAATTTAAGAAAAAATTTATATTTTAAACCCTTCTTTAAAAATTTGAATGAATAAATTTCCTAAAGCTTTAATCCTATCTGGAGCTAGAACCCTGAGTCCTTGCTGCAACAGCTTCTTGGAGGACTTGTAGTAGATGGTGTCGGGACCGTTGTAGAGCATACAGTTGGTGCAGATCAACTCGAAATCCCGTCGGAACGGTTCCAGACTCTCGTAACTTCCGTCTTCAACCTTCTCCGCCATTGTGGAGAAATCCATAGGTTCCCTAAACACAAACATTTTAAACTCCAAGAAGAGAAATCTTTAACACACAGTTGAATATATTTTTTTTTTATGTCAGTTTGGTTAGAAAGTTCGAATTTTAGGATGTCTGTAAATTTCCCAATCAAAAAATAAAATAGAAAAGATTTAATGAAACAAGGAAATAGGATGGAACAATGAACAAAAAGAGGACGGATAGAATGTAAAGAGGACGGATGGAATGTTAAGAGGACGGATAGAATGTAAACAGGACAGATTGAAAGTAAAAAGGACGGCTTTTATGCAAACAGGACGGATTTTATGTGAAGAGGACGGGTTGAACAAGAATATATAGAGGACGGATAAAATGTAATGAGGACGGATAGAATGTAAAGAGGATGGATAGAATGTACAGAGGACTGATTAAATGTAAAGAGGACGGATAGAATGTTAAGGGGACGGATAGAATGTTAAGAGGACGGATAGAATGTAAAGAGGACGGATAGAATGTAAAGAGGACGGATAGAATGTAAAGAGGACGGAAAGAATGTAAAGAGGACGGATAGAATGTTTAGAGGACGGATAGAATGTTAAGAGGACAGATAGAATGTAAAGAGGACGGATAGAATGTAAAGAGGACGGATAGAATGTAAAGAGGGCTGATTAAATGTAAAGAGGACGGATAAAATTAAAAGAGGACGGATTGAATTAGAATGTTAAGGGAACGAACAGAATGAAAAGAGACCGGATATAATGTAAAGAGGACATAAAGAACGTAAAGAATGTAAAGATGGATAGATGACAATACTACTTTACTTTATAATCTGTGAGTATCCGGGTGCAAATGTATCTGAGACAGGCTGAGAGAAGAAGTTGCTCACGTCCTTCTTCTCTAGTAGGGAGAGCAGGTGTTCCAGAACCTTGTTCAACATTCCAGACTTCTACACCAATATCATCAATATCAACTTCCAAAGTTTAAATATGGCGGGGAATGATTTTTCAAGATAATACAGACCCTTATCTATATAATAAAACAAGACATTCGTATATATATATGTTGCCTATAGCCGGTCAAACGGCTGGACCGATTGGGCTAAAATTTTTTGTGAAACATATTTTAAAAAAAATTCCACTGCCCACGCCGGGCCCTTCAGCTAGTGTTCATATAAATTTGTACAACTAAATTAATGATTCCCTGCTTGACGGTGGAAACACATGATCTGGAAGGTAGATCTCGTTTAGATGAAACTAGACCTCCATCCTCTTCCTCCAGTTTAGGTATCTAAACAAAACATTCAGTACTAATATACATAATATACATAATATATTCAGTACATATATAAGTACTAATCTCAGTTTGTTTGTAATTTCGATCATAACTCAGGAATTACATCACCGATTTACCTCAAACTCATAAGAACCACTGGAATGTTTTTAGCTTGGTTTTGAGATTTTAATTTGAGTGGGTCGACCTTCAAATGGAAAAATAGCTAAAATTCTAATTTAAGACCAAGCGCGGGTAAACGGCGGGAGTATCTGAGTAACGCTGCATGGGTTCCCAAGCTACCAATATCTATTGTTAAACTTTCTTCCTACGCATAATAAAAGAATAAATTATAACATAATCCTCTTAATACCATTTCTTGATTTTTTGTTAGTTTAACAAACGAAGTGCCTAGAAATCATGAAAACAATTAATTTAAAGTCGGAGGTGTGGACAATTTAAAATTTAAGGAGAATTGCTCGACTCCTAAGTTTAATGACAACCACGAGGTATCGAAGAAGAATTTAATTAATCCGTAGATCGGCATATGATTATTAATTGATCTCTAGATTAATTTAATCTTAAAGAACTCAGATAAAACAATAACATATTAGGAATGCCCAGAAACTGGTTTGTAAAAATAACATTTGGTGAAAGGCACAGAAGTGATTTCATGCAAAAGCCAGGTCTCCGTACCTTATCCAGGAAAATTCCTATCTTCGGTATAGTTTTTATAAAACTTAATTTGTAACAAAACCCAATCCTCCCGATTTTTTCTCAATGCATAAACTTCACTATATTTAGTAATACCTTGAGTGGGGGTTGTACTGTTGGTGAAGCAGGATATCCGTCCTCAACACTTGCATACTCTCTCTTCTTCTTCTTCTTATGATGTCTATGCTCTCTATCCCGGTCCTTATCCTTCTCATGACTCTTCTTCTTATCCTTCTTTTTCTTCTTCTTCTTCTCCTTGTGTCTATGATGATGCTCCGGGTCTGGTGAGAAGATGGGAAGAGCAGAGGGAGAATCTATTCTCTCCGGGGTATCAGGTCCCAGCTTTACTATTAGTTTAGGTACAGCAGGTAGCACAGGGGCCTCGTCATACTCAGAGCTAGTTCTAAACATGGATGGATTTACTCAGGGTATCATAATACACAGAGCTAGTTATAAAACATGGATGAATTTCTAGGGGTATCGAGATAACAGCTGGTTCTAAACATGGATGGATTACTCATGGTATCATGATAAACAGAGATAGTTCTTAACGTGGAAGGATAACTCAGGGTATAAAGATTTACAGAGCTAGTTCTAAACATGGATGGATTACTCAGGGTATCGAGATATATAGAGCTAGTTCTTAACATGGATGGATTTACTCAGGGTATAATGATATACAGAGCTAGTTCTAAACATGGATGGATTCCTCAGGGTATACTGATATACAGAGCTAGTTCTAAACATGGATGGATTCCTCAGAGTATAATGATATACAGAGCTAGTTCTAAACAGGGATGAATAACTCAGGGTATCAAAATATACAGAGCTAGTTCTAAACATGGATGGATTACTCAGGGTATAATGATATACAGAGCTAGTTCTAAACATGGATGGATTACTCAGGGTACAATAATATACAGAGCTAGTTCTAAACATGAATGGATTACTCAGGGTACAAAAATATACAGAGCTAGTTCTAAACATGAATGGATTACTCAGGGTACAATTATATAAAAGAGCTAGTTCTGGGCAGTGGGCACAGATGGTATACTCACTACTTAACGTTCAACTATAATTTTCCATGAATAAAAATAGGCAAAATAATCGAGCTTTGATTTTTAAAAATACTTTTTTCTAAAAAATATCTGACCTGTGTTGTTTATGCTTTTCGTGTTTGTGTTTATGTTTACCCATTTTTCCTATCCTTCCAATCTGTAAAAAGTAGAATATCAAGGAGCTGGATCCAAAAAGGCCACAAACTTCTTTAAACTGGAGGACATGCTTGTTCAGTTTAATACATATCACACAAGTTAGAGATTGTTTCAGCTACGTGGTTAAATAGAATTTTTAAGTATTGACAAGATCATTTATAAATAAAGGTTTCAGCGGATCTAATCTAAGAGATAAAAGGATTAGGATTTAGATTGTCAAGAAAAAAAAAGATTTTAAATAACTCTATAATTTTTTAAAAAGAAGAAAAAATTAATTAAGGTCCTAAAATAACTTTTACATTAATATAATGCTTTTCCCCAAAATATTATTTATTTCCTCCAAAAAAGACCCCCCCCCTTAAAAAAAAACACACCTCAACAGGTATTTTAAGAAACTATATAACCCTGAAAAAAAACATACGTTTTATCTATGTAAGAAAATTAGGCTAACAATTTTACAAAAAAACAATAATAATTACAACAAATAGACTGATAATAATAATAAAAGAGAACGAATTCAGAGTTTTAAATCTTTCATCAAAATATTTTTATGCTAGTAGTTTTTATTTATATAAAAGCTATCGAAATAACTAAACTTATGTGATGAAAAAGTTGACAAGTCAAAAAATATGGATAATAATAATACATATACTGTACTGTACTGTACTGTACTGTACTGTACTGTACTGTACTGTACTGTACTGTACTGTACTGTACTGTACTGTACTGTACTGTACTGTACTGTACTCCTATATTTACCATTGACTAGCTACGACAAAGTCAATTTCTTATGGCACTAATGTTTTTAGACAAGTAGAAAACCTACGTAATAACTACTGAAATAAATAAATTGAATATTACTTAAGAAAAAGGCATGATCATGACTATTTAAAGATATTGTCATGAGGAACACAATTGTTGGTAATAAATTTGTAATTCATTCATATTGCCAAGTACGAGTATTTTTGTTCATAATTAAAGGGGTTGATAGATATGACAGAAGAAGAGAACCAAGGAATGGTTGAGATTGGGTTAAAGTTGAAAGCAAAGAAGGAAGTTCACATTAAGACGAGTGATAAATAAACGAAATATCACAAAATTCTCTCGTAGAATAATAAATAAGCCTGGGCCTTGAGAACCTTCTCCTCAGTAACCTCGCTGACAGCAGTGTCTGACACGTGGAACCATCGCCGAGGCTGGTTTAAACTCTCAACCTCGGGTTCCGCCGGCGGAGCCTTGCTCGAGGATTTTTGCCGGAGCTCCGCCAAGAATCTAGAGATATCCTCCGCCCTGCTTAGTGGCGGAGAGAAGAAGTCTGATATGTTTCTATTTGATGTGTTCGCTGGACGGACCTTAAGAAAATAATATGTAAAGATACTGATAACTTGCTTCAAACTCAATTTTATATCTTTGCAACCTGATGATGTAGACCTTTCATATTTAAAATTGTAAATTCTGCAAGATCAAATAGTTCGAATTATTAAAAGTTTGCGTCATAAGGATGCTTTGTAAAATATCTTCAGTTTCATTAAAAAAAATGTTTTAAAAATCGGTTAAAAAATATTACTTAATTTAATGTATATTAAGTTTTTAAGATATATCGAATTTTGATGGAGACTAATATTTGAATCATTCATAAACTTTGCTAATTCATAAACCTTCCCTGGTGCCACGTGAGGTCCAACACAAAATTTGGGCATGATCGGTTTAGCCGTTTATTGAATACAAACAAACAAACAGATAAATTAATATATAGATAATCCATTTAAGTTAGAAAAAAGTTGCCCCATTTCCCCATAGGTTCGTTGACAAATTAGAAACCAAATGTTCTGTTTACCTTGACAAAGGCTGTATAGTGGCCACCCTGCAATCTACCGGAATGTTCCACAACACCGTACAAACTGTACAATACCTAAACACATATTCATGTACAAAATGTACAACACTTAAAACATATTAATGTACAAACTATACACCACCTAACACATATTCATGTACAAACTGTATAAAACCTAAACACATATTCATAAACAAGCTGTACAACACCAAAACACATATTGATTAACAAGCTAACACTTAGACACATCTTCATAAATGAGCTGTACAACAACTAAACACATACTAATTTACAAGCTGTACAACACCTAACCCATATTTATTAACAAGCTGTACATAACCAAGCTGTACAACACCTAAAAATATATTCATGAACAAGCTGTATACACACCTAAACATATATTCAACAAGCTGTATACACACCAAAACATATATTCATCAAGAAGCTGTACATAAACAAGCTGTACATAACCAAGCTGTACAACACTTTAACTCATATTATTGTACAAGCTGTACAGCAACTAAACACATATTCATAAACAATCTGTAAACACAGTGGCCCTTAAGCAAGAAAAGGTTAAACAAAAATCTCACTAAAAACGTTCAACACGTTCTAAAAAAAGGACATGACACGAGTCCAAAACAGTGTTTAAGTAATTCTTTGCTGCTCGTCTAACGAGATATTCACTTTTCAATTTTACAAGAAAATTCAGGAGAATGTGACATTTCCTTTTTAATCTTAAGACACAAAGTCCTATTTTTAGAACGTGTTGACCGTTTTGGTGACATTTTTGTTAAACCTATTGCTTCAGGGCCACTGTGTAGTGTACAACACGTAAAAACATACTAATCAACAGTAAACACATATTTATAAACAAGCTGTACAACACCTAAAATTCATAAACAAGCTATACAACATCTTAACACATATTTATGAACAAGCTGTACAACACCTGGAAACATATTTATGTACAAACTTACAACATCTAAACACATTTTTTCCAGTAAAAACTGTAAAACGGCTTAAAACATAAATATTTACTAACTGAACAACACCTAAGCATATATTTGTGTACAAACTATTGTACACCTAAAACATATTTATGAACAAACTCTAAATTAAAAAGCCCTGACAGTATGATTAAGTACATTTTTAAAAGTTTAATATTTGGTATCCCAATTTCACTAGCGGATGTCATAGAGAACTGCTCATATTCATAAATAAGTTTTTTTTGCGCATAAAGAAGTTTGGATAAAAAAAATGATTGAACAATATCCTAATCTAGTAGCATCGGCCCACCTTGGTTTGGTTTGGTCGCATTAAAGGAATGGAAAGAGCAGTGCTAGAGCAGAATGGAGCAAGGTCAAGAAGTACAGGGAATGCTACATGTTTGTTCAATTTCCTACATCCCATGAGGGTCTGCTGGAACCTCTTGAGGTGTATAGTGAGGATCATCGGAGGACAGAATATTAGAAATTGTTTTGAAGCGTTGGAATAAACTGTTTTAGGTTTCTTCTTCTTTTCTTCACTATCATCACTATCATCTCCGGAACACCTTTACACCAATAAATGGATGAATGAATGAATGAATGAATGAATCAATCAATCAAATAATGAATGAATGAATTAATCAATCGAATAATATACAGAGCTAGTTCTAAACATGAATGGATTACTCAGGGTACAA